TCCTATATTTAGTACGACCGTACTACTTATGATTCTCGATGTGCCGATTGCCATAATTTTAATTTTAATTTTTAAACACACCAACGAGAAGTAGAAAATTGCTTGTCTGGTAACAATGTCTGCTATAAAGACAGAATCGTTGCAGCTTATCACAAATTTCCTTTTCGGCACGACATGTAATGATGAATGCTGTCATTAGGGATTAGGCATGCGACTCCTCACCAAAACTTCCCAATCATTGCTCTCGCAAGAATCATCAGCTAGTTGAAAACGCCAATTGCATAACGCAGAATGTGATTGATATATGATTTTTGTCGTGAAGTTATGACAGGTTTTCCTGCTATTATCTTAAGCTCTATTCGGGAAACAATGAATTGGGCGTTAATCACATCTGCAGCCGCTATTTTCTTTTACCTTAAAAATTTGGCGCCATAACCAGTGAGGAAGCTTACATATAGGACATGTAATATTCGATTTTTTCATGAGAAATGATATTTCAAGATATTATTGGTAGAAGAGAAGGCATGTCATGTTCATTAGATGGGTAAAAATGAAAGAAAGGGATTTTATGAGGAAAGAAGTAAGGCAGGTTTTGGTGATTGGCTTGTGTGCTTTACCGATCGTTACCTGAATCCCCACACTTTTATGATTGTGTGTTTTTTTAAAACTACTTCATGGTTTATATCTTTCTTTACTGCTAATCTGAAACTAATAACAGCTGACATTTTCCAATAGCCAATAAATTTAACAATGGAGTCAAGGAACTAAATTAACAAATTTTTTAAAAAACCATGAAATAAACTTGTGTAGGTATACTATACATGACAAAAACTAAATTACAGCAATACCGAAATAAATAAATAATTGGCAATTTGCCAACCTTATAATATCTTTACTTTAGCGTTGTACATACGTAGGACATGTAGCAAGTAGTGGATGTCAGTATGTAGCGCCTAGAGTAGTAAGTTCCGCTTAGTTGCCCCTCAAAACCAAATATTTCGACTCGAATTTCTCTTATTTCAGACTTACCAAGCCGCTGCTCATCAGGTGCCGACGTACGCCATAGCTGCGGTACCTACGTACTTTGTGCCACGAGCATTAACTTACCATCAACCGCAGCTGGTGTCTTTGCCCTTGATTTATGTCGCAAGGCCACAACAGTACGTTAGCGCAGCAAAACCCTACCCACAGCCACAACAGGGTTACGTGCAAGCTCCACAGCAACAGTATCCCTTACCAACACCACCACCGCCACCACCTCCACCACCTGCATATCCACAACCGCCAACGTACGTAACGCAAG